AAGATTCTAGAACTTCCTAGTATAGCTCTTTAATTATTTTCGCAGAGACGGATCTTCCTCCTCTCTTGGTTGTATTTGATGACCCTAGGTAATTATAATAGATTAACATAAACGAAGATATTCATGCAACTCTTATTTATGGCTCAAATGTACCTTCGGACATTCTAACTTATGCTGGAGCAATTCTCTACAATAATTTAGTTGTAGGAGTAATTAAATTTGATTATTATAAACTTAAATTTAGAATTTGGGATTATTTTTCTGATATAAAAGCAGATAATATAATTGTTCAAATCAGATTTACTGTATATAACCCTGCCAATATAATGCCTAGTTTAAGTGTAACAAACTTTAATATAAACTTAGCTCCTTCAAATTGTGTTCTTTCTGTTACTCCTTCAAGTGGTCAGGCTTTAACTACCTAATTCACTATTCAATTTAATGGTTGCGTAGCCCTTAATAATCCTATAACTTACTAATTATTCTATTATAACCAGACCTCTGATGCTTTAAAAGAAATTTAAATCCCTTAAAATATCCTAAGAAGATAATTACAGGATTAGAGTTTACAGTCCAAAATTATTACCAATCTCCCTTCAGGAAATATAGTAATTATGGGTCAAGCTATGGATTCTTACTTAGCTGTCTTTAATACTACTATTTAAGTGAATGTTTCTCCATTCTAGGGAGATGAGTAGACATTATTGAGTTTAATAGGTTCGGCACTTTCATAGTAAAATATAAAAGTAAATTAAATGCTCATTAATTTATGCATTATTGGTGAAGAAATAACTAAGAACACTGCTCTTTACAATCTAGATTCTATTAACTTCAGAAAGTAAATGTTAGTATAGTCGATTATAAGCTATTCAAATAGGCTTTAGAGTAATTCTTTTTTGTCTACTTATGGAAATAAAGTTGTAGCAGCTCTTCAAGCTTCCATAAATAATAATTATCAAACTTAAAGTTATAAAGTCCTTGACTATGTTAATACAACTTTACAAAATTCACAGCAAAAAATGCAAATTAAAACAATAATAATAAA